TTTTTTCATTGCCGTTGTACGGCGAGCCTAAATATCATATACGTGAAATAAGTTATTTAGAGACTATGGATGGCGAGGATAAATGTAATAAAGGGATCTACAAACATTACATTGGTGACCTACAGTGAGATGGTAAAAGGCATGCGCTTAGGGCCCGCTTTCCAGCCAGTTTCTGTGAGGTGACGCATTTTGAGGTGAGGCAGAGCTCATCTGTGCCTCACCTTACCACCATAGACTGTATGAGCTTACCACACAGTAACTGGCTTGAGCGCGCTCGCAAAATAAGTGCCCGCGCTAAATTAGTGCCCGCGCTCCAGCAAGTTACTGTGGGTTTACGTGAGGCAGAGCTCGTCCCTGCCTCACTCCTCATCGCTCCCATGTAGTTGAAGCGGAGCTCGGCTGATTTTGACTATAAAAAGCGATTGGAATCATACATAAATCACATTTACAACACAGATCAGTGGAGACATTTTATTATTATTACTATTTAGTTTTTATTTAGTTGTTTTTCCGTTACATTGTAGTATGGCCCAGTGCTGGAATTGGGCCGGTACTCACCGGTACGCAGTACCGGCACTTCTGGTTCTGACCCATGGAGTACCGGCACTTCTTGCTCAGTACCGGCATGCTGGCGGTACTCCGGTACTCATGCACCGTGCCAGTACTCAACACTCTCCCGCCGTTCTTATTATACATCCATATATATATATATACAGCCGCCCGGTACTCAGTAGATGCGTCATGAGGTGCCGAACGGACATTCTCATCGCTCTAACCGCTGGAGTTTCACAGCGGCTGTCAGCTGTTTACTCCTGTCATTCAAACAGAACGTGCTGGAGAGGGGGCGGGGCTTATCTTCTCCATGTACATACTGTGGTGGAAACGACTATGTCAACATTAACCTATTTGACCGTGATTTAATAGTAATACACGTTTCAAAATAATAATAATAATAATAATGCCGAAGTAACAACATACTGAAAACTGTTAGTAAAACCATGTTTTAATGCTTTACAATTTACATACCTAGATGCACGTGTGTTGTTTTTATGCAGTGCAACTCCCACCCAGTGGGTGGCTATGTAGAGTGATAGAACAGAGCAGGCACGCCCCGAGAGAAGGAAAGCAAGTCACGTCACAAATTAGCATTTCTAAAATGTTAGCGTGGATTAATAAAAGTGCAAAAAGACAGCGGTTGTCGCCGGAAGAAACTTCAAATACAGAGAATGCTGTGCCTGTGTTGGAAATTGTGTCTGATGGGGAGCTTTCTTTGGTTGATCCTCCTGCTCCAAGTTCTAGTGCATTAGCATTAGCACTAGCTCCGCCGCCTCCTCCAGAGCCTCTAACTTTAGCTGCTGCTGGCGCAACTGCCACCACCAACACCGGGCAAAGCGATGCACCTGACTGCTGGACAACGGACCAGGTGCAATATTTTTGCAAGACCAATGCATGGCTCCTTCTTAAAGATAAGAAGCTAGGATGTCGGATATGCAGAGATGTCAAATCTTTGGGAATACACACTGGACAAGGACTGAAACTGTCAACTGAATGGGGTGAGTGTGCAGTGTCTCATTTCGGTGTTGACAAGGGCAAACAACAAGCTAGCCTGAGAAAAAAAATCAAAGAACATAAAGAATCACAAGCCCATGTAAAAGCTGCTGACATCCTTACATCTGCTTCACGTGAAACTATTCAACATCAAGTGCAGTCTATGCATACATCTGAATTAGACACCACTATCAGAGTTTTTCGAACATATAATATTGGCAAACATAGCCGGCCATTCACAGACATGCCAATTGATTTGAATGTACAGAAACTGAATGGGCTGAACGTGGGCAGGGTTTTGCACTCCAATAAAACCTGTGGCGAAATCATCGACCACATAGCTCATGAGCTGAAGAAAAAAATGGCAAAAGACATTACAGAAAACCAAAGAAAACTCTGTGTTTTGGTCGATGAATGGGCTCAATCATTTCCAGATCTTTTTTGACAAACTCTATTCCTTGTTTCATGCCTCCCCCAAAAATCAGAGGCAGTTAGCGCAGTGTGCGCAAGCAGTCGGACAGCGTCTCCTGATGATAGGGCGTGTTTTGTCCATCCGCTGGGTGGCTTCAAGTGAAAGGAGCGTCAGAGCAGTCTGGGAAAACTACCGAGTGCTTCGTGATCACTTCACAAATGCTGCAAACGACACGAGCAGGGATTCCAGAGACAGAGCAAAGTACAAGGGCCTGGATGATGTGCTCACATCTGCAACGTTTGTCAGCAATCTGGGACTGATGTACGATGCGCTCACAGAGCTCAGCGACCTCTCTCGGCAACTCCAAAAAAGAGAGATGACACCGCCTACAGCAGATAGGCTCTTAACTCGAGAAATACGAGTTTTTGAATCCATGGTCACCATGCCTGGCCCACACATGACTACAGTTCATACAGCTCTAGCTGAGAAGTCCTTCAAGGGTGTTGCCCTGCGTGAGAATGGCAGGCTTGTACAGATTCATGCAGGTCAGTTTTTCCGCAGTATGGTAGAGAATCTGAGACACAGAATGACTTCCACAACCTCCTCTCATGTCAGCACAAGAGAAATCCCATTACATGGCCGGGAGGCCCGGGACAATCAGCTAATCCAGGACATGAAAGTTATCCATCCTGGAAGTTGGCCTGAAGAGGAGTTAGACGTACAGTATGGGGACGTAGAGGTGCTACGTTTGTGCGAAGTGCTGAAAGTGGACAGAAGAGAGACTGTTTAGGGCTTTCGCGAATACAAGGAAACCAGGGCATCCCGTACACCTGCTGCCATGGAGCCTCTACTGAAAGCAGTCCGAACCATCGCTGTCTCCACTAGTGAGTGTGAGCGGGCATTCAGCTGCATGAACGATATCCTTACTGCAAAAAGGAATGCTCTCTCTGTCAGCCGACTGTCCAGCCTGGTTTTCATTCAATGTAATGGACCATCACTAGGACAGTTCAATCCGGAACAGTATGTGAGGTCCTGGCTGGCAAAGGGAAGGAGAAGTGCTGATGAAAGAGCCTGTCCAGCTCCAGCCCCTGATACTGATGTCCCCAAGGCCTTCTGGAGCCTTTTCTAACAATGTGAAGTATATTGCAAAGCAGCTCACCCAGTGAGAAGACTTTTGGCATAATGTGCCGATTTGTACAGATCCTGGAGATAGAAGGACTTCAGACCAACCAGGGAGTTATCTGATCAGCTTGGTGTTCAATGTAACTCTTTACCATGGCTCAGACTTTGTTACTTGCAGTTACAGTTTCTCATTTTAGATTGTGCAAATTTTGCATTTGTTTTTACATGTTCTTTGTTCATGCTCTTTATCATTTTTCTGAGTTGGAAAGTTAGATTGCATCATAGTTTACTTTATACATATTTGTATTCTTCAGTGGTGAAGTATATTGCAAAGCAGCTCAGCCATGTGAGAAGACTTTTGGCACTTTTTTGTTTTTCGTTTTCTGAGTTGGAAAATTAGATTGCATTCAAAATGTACAGAAATACTTAATTTTGTTAAAGCTTTTTATAAAAAATGCTTCTGACCAGAGCTTTGTTTCCTTGTCATTAATGTTGAACACCACCAGAGGGGCTCTCACCTGAAAGGTCTCTGCTTCATGTGTCTTCAGCAGAAGATCTAGACTTTGATTGCTATATTTTCAGTTAATATTGACCTTACTGAGCTTTAGCCATATCCGCTGCCTATCATAAAAAATGTTAAGTACAGTGAACCTTTCTAAAATATACAGTAGTAAAGAGACAAACCCACCAGCATTATAGTAGCCAAATTCTTGTTTGTGGGCTGTATATATAAAATTGACTTGAAAAAGTTGCTGATTTTAGAGTACTGGCACCTTTTTCATTCCAATTCAAGCACTGGTATGGCCAGTCTATGAGTAGACAGGTGAGGCTCTGCCTCCCCTGACTGCACGTCGCTGATCATTATATTTTTCCTTTCGTCGCCCGAGACCTAGGATCAGCAGAGGCCTGAGTGATGCGACGCTGTTCTGCTTACTCGGGTAGAAATTCCCCTTCAGGACGTTTTCTAATAGAATGACGTCTCTCCAGATAGGCCGCATGTTCCCGCTCTGTATGGCCTTCACACACACGCTTTAGCAGAGCTCTGCTCATGATTCACAGGGAGACGCGGGTCCATTTGCCTCCTTGTCTGATCAATGATGGATGGGCACAGTCAATGCGCATACTTATGGCGCGTTTCCACTGCAGCGGGTAGCTCATTGAAGATGACGTCACGGCTCCGCCTACACTGCGTTACTATAGTAACTACCCCAGTTCCTAAACTGTAATGGAAGCGCAGCATTAAAGTGAGCCGGGCCTAATAAGGCCTAACCAAACCGAGCGAGGCCTGCAGTGGAAACGCGCCATTAGACATTCAAAGCTCATAGCCAATGAAGATGTACACTGTCATACCAGCGTGGGACGGATTCAGTAATTGGCAGGATTGATTTATTCCTCGCTTGCTCTTGTCAAGAAAAGATATTGGCCGCTCACTGGCATAATTGAGCCCACCGGTGTAGAGAGAGCAGTTCCCCAGATCCTCGCCAGCACTGAATTGGTGACAAATTAAAGGAAGCTCTCTCTCTTCTGTCACTTGTTCCTCTTTCACTTGAAATCCTCTGAGCTACTGTCACAGCTTTACTGCTCAGTATGAGACCTTGAATCTTTTGTTGCTCTTGAATTCTTGTGTGTTTCTCCTTTTGTATTCAGCCTGTAGGCATACTGTGGTGTGAAATATGAAATTGGCATCGCATGCTCAAAAGGTTCGCCTCAAGCAGTTTAACTTTCCCTCCTATTTTTTTGACATTTGCCCTATGGAGCAGAAATGACATCAATTTCTCTTGTATTAAGTGATGCTGAGGTTTTAATGTGTTTTCACTAACCCTAATATTAAGGGTCTTTGCTTGTCAATAATGATTTAAAACTAGATTAAAAATACAACAGAATGAAACTGACATGTTAATATGTCATCTCTCTGCAGGTGCCCTCACAGTCGGTCTGGTCCGGCAGTGTCAGACCATCCACGGGCGAGACCGGACCTGTATTCCCCCCCGGCTGCCCCCGGAGTGGGTCACCACACTGTTCTTCATCATCATGGGCATCATCTCCCTCACAGTCACCTGTGGACTGCTCGTGGCATCACACTGGCGCCGAGAAGCCACCAAATACGCTCGATGGATCGCCTTTACTGGCAGTAAGTCAACCAGACGATTACATTTGCGCTGGATAAATTAGTTTTGCTTTACTAGATCGGCTGTCAGTACATTTGCCCTCGGAGCTTTCTCACTGCATCTTTTATGGCATAATCTTTCCAAAGTCACTCTTGCATCTTTAGCTTTGTCATAAGTATTAGTCTTTCAAGGGCAGGAAATAATGGCGATGAGTTTAAAACGGAGTGAAATATTGGCCCAGATTTGCATTGCTAAATATGAAAATGAGTGAGACGTCATTTGAGGCTTCATACAGGACCCATTGTGTGTTTGTGTTTCGGAGTCACGTCAAAACCTGTGTGGGTTTTTTTGTACCACTGTGTGTTTAGATGCATTTGCAAATTCAGAGTGTTTTTCTTGCATGTTTAGCAGCTCCTCTCGCTCCCTGAAGCTGATTTATTGAGTAATGTGCAGCTCCTCAGATACCCGAGTGGGTGGCTTATATGCCACAGCGTCTCTCTAGTGCCTTCTCTCTCTGTTTGCCTCGAACATCACCACTTATTTTCCGATCTCAGTGCTTCTCAAAGTGTGGTCCGCGGACCACTGGTGGTCCGTGAGCGCCCCCTAGTGGTCCGTGAGTATATTGGTAACATTTCACATTTGAAATTAATTAAGTAATTTAAGTTTTTCGCACTCTCGCGGAAATATCTCCGCAATGGAGCAAGCTTAAGTTTCACTTTCGATTGCATGATATAGCCCAGATAAACACCTTCATCACACATGTTGCCACTTGTTGGTACCATTTTCAGGCGATTTTTAAAAAACGATATGTTTTTGGATATTTGTGGAGTTAGGTGGTCCTCGAGTGTTTTTTTATTGGTTAAGTAGTCCTTGGTATGAAAAAGTTTGAGAAACACTGCTGTAGATGGATGCGCTTCCAGCCACAATAATAACTCAGCATCCATCTAATGTACAGCGGCTGGCTGTGTGGGAGGGTGGAGTTTGATTGGCCGCTCAGTTAAGGAAAGAGACGGCCTGAAGCACACTCGTACAGATGGAGCGATGGCCCATGGAGCCACAATGCTCTGTATTATTGTTCGAAAGCTGGGTGCATTTTTCAGCACACTGTGGCTTTTTTGTTCTGCTGATTTGAATAAACACTCAGTGCTTTCGTCAAGATTATTTTCTAAGCCTGCCGGGCCAAATGCAGACTCATAATCAGCGCTCCCTAATCACTTGCAAACTCCCAATGAATCACCACTTTCTCCACAAACTGGTCCGTCTTTCCAATAAGCACAAATCTGTATCGCATCTAAATTGGATGCCGTTAAGTCATTGTTTTACCATCACGCTTAAAGGGAAGTAAGGCTGTTGCCATGGAAACTGTGAGCCATTGTCACCCTTGTCCCCTTATTAAGCTTCAGTTGGCCACATTAGACAGAAGAGGTTTATTGTTGTTATGCTTTTTAACAGGTTTAAAGCAAAATGATGATTGTCAGGAAATAGTGCTCGGGGGATTTTATATATTTAAGGAACAAGGTAGAAGAAGCTTGGTTTGTTGAGAAACAAAAAGTAATCTCTTATTTTGTTGTAGGACCCCTGTTAGCCTAAGTTAACGGTCAACCTGGGATACTCTGTTATGTCACAAGTCTGTTTAAATTGTAGGAGAGGGAAGAAATGGCAACATTTGACTTTGAAATGACATTCTGTCCCTTGTGATGTTGCTAAATTTGTATCAGCATGCGAACACCTCTCTGCCTTCGGCCCAGCAGAGTGAGCGGGTAAAAGGTCATGTGAGGAAACGGCCGGGGGCTTAGGAAGAGTTGAGTAAAGAAGCCGAGTTGAGTGGAAAATTAATCCGTGTGCAGAGCTGAGAGCCAAGGTAAAGACAAAAATGGACATGGAGAGACGATGAATAAAGTGAGGTTGGATTTAAGGAGACAGGTTGGTGCATTCAGGGTAACCAGGGGATGAAGGTTGAGGGAAGGTGTGCCGTCTGTTGTGGAACTCCAGGCCACCGCCTCCTGAATGGAGAGCTTTGTACGTCCAGCACAGGCTCGCCTCTGTGTCGCTACACACAAACACACACTCACACCAGCAGTGTTTCCCTAAGGTATGAGAGTCATCTGTAGGAGGAGGACTGGGAGTGGAGTTAAAATGAATACAATGTTTACAGTACATTAACATTTACTGCAGTGGAAATTACAATATATAAATAATTAGGTATTGATTGGAGCCACATACACCTGTATCCAGTCCATCAATCACATTGTTAGTCCATCTTGATTTGAAGAGTAGCTTAACATTAATCCACTCTTTTGAGTTTATCAATAACATGTATACTCCCTTTATTACACTGTATGTTTGTCCCCTTGTGTTGAATACCTCATTAGTTACTTAATGAGAAAATAAATACTGTATGTTTGGCTTCCATAAACACAAACATGCAAAAATATTGACTATCACATCATACTAAGAAAGCAGCAAATCCTTACATTTAGAAAGCTGGAAACAGAAAATGTTAAACATGAAAAAGGATGAATTATTAATGAGTTATCAAAATAGTTCAACCCAATTATTTATGTTCAAAGGTTATTTCTGTACTAAACATTAGTAGTCCATTAGCTAAATTGCTGTAGTTCGATCAGCAGCAGGTTAGCGAGGTGCCGTGTGTCATCAGTTCAGGCTTTTAAGAGAAGCAGTGAACTGTGATGTGCACTTTAATTAACTCTCTGGTGAAGCTTGCAGGAGAAATGCTGAGCCATGTATTTCTGGCCAAAGTTTAGCTTACCGTACGTATCCCTTTGCAATCTCGCCCCCCTAATAGATTAACACTTTGAACAATGAGCAGGCAAAAACAGCTACATATTAGCTTGTGTGTGTGGTGCAGCTTTACCAAATGTAATGGTTTAAATGTCAGGGATTTGTTTAAATAGCTGCATGGATATCGCAATGTGTTAGAAAATATCACTCGCCACCGGCTTGAGCTTCAATATCAGGATACATGTATTTATTATCCTTGCAAGAATGGAAGTAGTCATCACGCACAGAGGTGCATGGGACAAATAGTTCCCAGAACAGTGTCCTTCACCTACCTTAAATACAAGAGAGGGTGTATCATAGTCACAAGATGCAAGAATACTGGCTAAGGCCCACGTAAGCAATAAACATGACAGTCATATGCCTATCTATCTGTAGGGGCTGAATCATCATGTTAATCGTTGTCACATGGCTATCATATGCCTAAAACAGTTTGTCCTGACGCTCTTCTAGGTAATCATACATCCGGTTACGTACACAGCTACGTAGGGCCTTTGTTCTACTCTGATATTAGAAGAGTACATTCAGTATTTTCCCAACACAATGGCATTCAGATTAAATATGGGGGGAATTTGTCATACAGTATGTATTGTGAGACATACTGTTAATGCCATCCCACAATTATAAACAAATAGCCCCATTTATTCTATCCATATCGCTAATTTCGAATTACTTATTTAATCTCTGGGTTCATTTGTAGACACTGATTGACAGCCACAAAATGTATTTTGGTAATCCCAGTGCTACTACGGTCTCCTCCAGCTGCAAGAGACTTCAAATCTGATTAAAGCCACATCAGTGAGATGTTTGAGGCTGAGAGAAGTCATCCCTCAGGTACTGAACAGTTTCTCTAATTGGAAAAGGAGAGAAAGCTAAAAACGGCTTCATGACCTCTCACCAAAATGCATTACACACTTTGCAGGAAACCAAAATAACTCAACATATCCTCAGTTTACTTTGAAAGTCTGTCATACTTTTTGTTGGAGAACAAGGGGCTTGAAACTAAGATGGTTGATAATGTATGCAGTACACAGTGACATATAGTGAGTCCCACCCCCCTCATAGGCCCAACCCTGCTACTACAGACAGTCCAGGATGAAATGCTGATCAAATATTCCACTGTGCTTTGAATGCAACAATAACAATTTATTTTTAGGCACCTAAAGCTATTTTTCGAATTCTGTGGAGCCATTGTTCTGTGATTCCAAACGGTTACAGTTTAACACCACGGGGTTACAGAAGGAGACTCAGAAGTGGACCCAAAGCTTCAGTTTTAACGTCTTCAAAGGAAACAGAATGAAAAGGGAGATTCTAATTAGTGACAACTTTGTTATCCAATCACTTCATCCTGACCGTGTGATAAGACTAATGATGTGACCTCTGCTTACTCTGCAGCTGTGAGCCTGCTGTGCTGATGTTCTTCAGAGGGGAACTTCTCCTCTGTGAATTTTTTCCACATGCGTACTTGTACATAGCCAATTTAAAAATGTGGCTAAAGGGAACTCCTGCAGAGTGCTACTTCGTTCAACAAAATAAAAAGGTTTTCTTAAATCCTTTTGTAGCTCCAGAGGAAGCTGCCTAAAATATGGTTAATTGCCTCAAGTGATGTCAGATAAAAGTTGTAAAGTGAGACCTCTGTAGCCTGACGGCCCCTACACACGGCGGCGTGCGTTGAAGCTTGGCGGTGGGCGTGTCAGAAGCTTGGGGAGTCAACGCGACCAACAACCAATCACATGAATCTCATGTTATATAATTACATGTCACACTTTATATGATGAACATTTATGACATTAATGTCTATGGTGCTATTTTATGCAACATTCCATGCTGGCTAAATACTGTCTATGCCTGCTAGCTGTCCATTCAAACGAAGTACACTGGATATAAACTCCCCCAACAGGCAAAAACCTACCAGTTTCACCCACTGTCTCTGCCACCTCCCTCCATGCCTGGCTCCTCCGGTTTGTATCCCGGTAGGTGAACAGGGACTGGTCATACAGCACCGGGTGATTCCCTACCGCGACAATGATTTTGTCCTGAACATGAGGAAATGACCTGCAGTATGGCTCTCCCAGCATACATGCGGTTTGATTGGCTAGCGCTTGTACTGGTAGATTTGCATAAACGGGATTTGATTGGCTGACGCTTCCGTCGAAGCTTCAAAAGTAGAACATTGCTCTACTTTTGAAGCGAGCAACGCGAGCAAAGCAAAGCTTTGCCCCCACAATGCAGTTCGGCAAAGCGTGACGTCACCCCATTCAAAGTGAATGGGCAGAAGATAGTCCTCTTAGCTTGAGGCTTACTTTATGTTCTACCACTATTATAACACAACTGAATCTCAGACCAATCTGTCATCAATGGAATTGCATTCTGGGTAATACAAGGTAGTTACAAGGATTCAATGAAAAAGAAGAATTAATGGAATAAAACATATGGTAGGAATCAAATCGATATTTTTCTTTTCAAACAGCCATTGTGAGTCTGACAATGCACTCTTTTGTTATAACAGTGCATTGTTATTGTGAATAACCAAAGAAGGTCAAAGGAACACAACCTAAATGGACAATACGTTTTTAATATAATACGATTGTGTCATTACTAAATGTTTCTATCGGTAAATAAAAATTCTTACTGTGTTACATATAGTGGTAGCTGTGGGACAGAACTAACTTGCAGTGAGTAAACAGTGTGTGGCTGTCAGAGAGCCTGAACACCTTTAAGCTTGTAGAGACATTTTGCACAGGTTGCTATAGAGAAGTTATTTATGGTTCTGCAGAAACATTTACTGACACAGATGCTGCATTCATGTGGTGTCAAGGTTCTGCAAATATGTGGTGCTCAAGGATGGCACTTGATAATGATAGCTTTGCGCAAAAGAAATGGCCTAAAGCCACATAAAAGCTTCACTTCACTAACTTCAAAGCTGAAATTAAATCATCTACTTGATAGACGCTTTTCAGAGATGTGCAAAAACATTTTACTGTGAAGGAATGCACCCTTAATTTACTGTCAGAAAATAATGTGCCATTGAAAAAGGACAAATACAGTTTCTAACTCACATAAACTATTATATTTCAATTTTTTTTGTCAGAGTAATGTATAAGCCGTAAGCTAACTTTTAATGAAATGTTGACACAAAGAAGTTACATAAATGCTTTTTTAACAGAAACAGTTTGTCACACTGTGAGTCTTCCTAAAACACACATTGCCCCCCTGTCATGGTGCTACTATGAGCCCCCTCTGTGTAATTGCCCCTTTAGAGCCTTTTGAAAGGCCCTATTGTAAGTCTCTAATTAACTCGCTACAATTGAATTAAATTTGAGCAGCTTATGCTTCCTGCTCAAGGTGAGTGAGTTAGTCGCTTCTTGTGTGGAGAACAAAGGCTTCAAGGATAACTGAGGTTTAAGTTTCTGTGTCCTTTATGTATTTACTTACTCTCCAGCTTATGAGTCTGTCCTTGAGATGAATCTAAATGTTTAAACACCTGGCCAGTAAAATGATGTTTCTGTGCAGGTATTTTATGATTAGGGGAACAGTAAATTAACATCTTCCCTCTCCTTCCTTTCAGTGATCCTGTTCTGCATGGCGGCGCTCATCTTCCCCATAGGCTTCTATATCAACGAGGTGGGGGGGCAGCCGTACAAGCTGCCCAACAACACGGTGGTGGGCTCCTCGTACGTGCTCTTTGTCCTCTCCATCTTCTTCACCATAGTGGGACTTCTGTTTGCCGGCAAAGTCTGCCTCCCAGGCTGAGGACTGCACCCCGCCCGCCTCTGGACTGACACACGAGGCTCTGAAAATGTTACGGGATTTACAAAAACACAATGACTGAACATTAAGAACAACAAACTCTGGCTAAAAGCCTGACACAGGGAAGTCTTTGATTTTATGTCAAGGGACTGCAGCACCACGGAGTATCTAACGAACAAAAAGACTAAAAGAGGCGACGTGGACACAATAGGGTGGAGGAGAGAGAGAGAGGGAGAGGGAGAGAGGGGGCGGCAGAGGCTGCTGCAGCACCCTGCCACTGTTGATTTAAAATATGGCCATCTCTGTTGTTGTTCTGTTGGAAGAGGGTGCTTAATGTGCTGCTGTCATGGCAACTGCGGTCACAATGCTGGCACCCATTTCTTGAGGACCACTCCTCCCCTCGCCCGGCCGCCCGCTGCAGCACCCTCAGCACACACCCGCGCCGTCACGACTGCTCCGGATGCTATTTTTGGCTCCTCTTAGCTATTTCTGTTGTGTGTTGTTTTGTTTTTGTACATTTTGTGTTCTCGTTTTGTTTGTTTTTCCTTCCAACCTCCGCTGCCTTTCACTTAAGTAGCTTGAGTGTTATTGAGGCTCACTGAGCTGAGTCTTTGAGGGTCGTTTTTTTTTGCCAGCTTGGCTTTAGAGCAGGGTTTACTCTCGCCCACCACTTCCCGAGGCCCCAGGTGTGCGGCTGGGCTGAGCAGCTGTGAGCGCAGCTGTGGATGAGAGGGGGGGCAGGTCTGAGAGGGGGGGGCAGGTCTGCCGTCTCTCAGGCTCCCACCAGCTGCAGCTCAGGAGCAGGTAGCAGCATAGGACCCCCCCCCGGGCCGCAGACGGGAGGGCGAGTAATGTAAAGGAGAATGCCACTCAATGGATGACCTAGCATTTTGTTTATCTGTACACTCGGCAACAGAGTATTAGTAAGCTTAACCCATGACACTGATAAACATCTTTGCCAATAACTAGAAAAACTGTGCATTTAGAAAAGGATCATCTGAATATAAAGACAACTCTTGTATTTGTTGTAATGATTCTGTTAAACACGACCACAAGCACAGTGGCTTTTTCAAAGTAGAGTATTGCATCACTGTGGTGTTACATTTTAGAAGGGTAGAGATGACCTTGTATATCACTAATTGTGACAGTATTGACTTTTTATGAATAGAAGATAAAGTTGAAAATAACATAAGCGAATCATGACAATTGGTGGTATTCTCCTTTTAATGTTGGACAGGAAGGAAGCGAGCCAGGAGCTTTTTTTGTCTTGTGGAGGCACAGGGACTGCAGGTCAGGTCCATGGGGCTGGGCCTCAGGGTGCTCCTTTTGAGGTCTGTGATTGTAAAACACACACACACACACTCTGTATACTGTAAATATGCAGCAACAAACTATTATTTTTCATTTCGTAATGCTTCATTTTTTTCAAGAACAGCTTTTAACTTAACACAGAGAGGTGCAAATTACTGTGACCCTCAAAAGTCAAACTTGGTCCCACAACTCTTCCCCTGCTTTATCAAGAGCACCAACATTTTTCAGCTAACTCGCCTTTATCAAGGTGGTCTCTAAGGTTTATTTTTCTTGTTCTGAGCCATAGTCATGCTTGTAAGAACTACAAATCCCATGACTTGTAGGCCCTAGGGTTATGCTGTGAGCTACAGGTTAAGATGTGCTTTAATTTGTACATATATTTGTTCACATAGTGACACTTTGGCCATATTTAAGTATTGGTTACTAGGATGCCAGTTTAGCTAGCCTTTTACTGACTTCGGTAGTTCATCTAATTTTACAAACTGGTTATTCAAAATCCTGTAGACCCAAATTATATTAAACCAATATTTCTGAAAACAGTTAGATTTATCCATAAATATCAAAAGTCCATCTACGGTTAACATCCTTCAACTATCCCTCCCTATCAAAATAGCTGTGTGTGTGTGTGTGTGTGTGTGTGTGTGTGTGTGTGTGTGTGTGTGTGTGTGTGTGTGTGTGTGTGTGTGTGTGTGTGTGTGTGTGTGTGTGTGTGTGTGTGTGTGTGTGTGTGTGTGTGTGTGTGTGTGTGTGTGTGTGTGTGTGTGTGTGTGTGTGTGTGTGTGTGTGTGTGTGTGTGTGTGTGTGTGTGGTGTGGTGTGTGTGTGTGTGTGTGTGTGTGTGTGTGTGTGTGTGTGTGTGTGTGTGTGTGTGTGTGTGTGTGTGTGTGTGTGTGTGTGTGTGTGTGTGTGTGGTGTGTGTGTGTGTGTGTGTGTGTGTGTGTGTGTGTGTGTGTGTGTGTGTGTGTGTGTGTGTGCTCTGTTGCAAAGTATTTACAGTTTGTTTTATACTTCTGTTTCCTGCTCAGCTTCTCTCCCTCTCAGTCTGATGAAATGTACGGCTGCGACACTGCAGTGCCCGTCTCGGTCGGTCCGTATTGTACCATGACCTGTTTTTGTTTAATAATGTACAGACACTCAAAAGGCAGGATCTCTGTATTAGGAAGCACTGTGCGTTGGACAGTATAGGTAACATAGAAGCACCACAAATGTATAAAAAAGAGAGAACTTCTTACCTCATTGTTTTTGTTTCTGCTATTATTTTCTAATGGTGGCAATGTGTGCCCACAAATTGTCTCTTGCCTTGATCGGATGTCTTCACATAAAGCCTATGATCATAGGAAATTATTTATCACTGAATAAAAAGAGGAAAAATGGGTGTGTGTTGCTCTGATGTAGTTGTTATGATTTATTTTGCTCATTTAAGGGGATGTGATGTGAATGGCAAAACACAACTCATCATCTAATCTTAAACTATTTATCTGAGAATTAACATGCTACTTCTGCAGGATGGGATTCAGATGTCCTTCTACTCTTCATTGAACTTGAAAAAAAACTGACTTCAAGGGCAGCCTCTCAGGATGCAGCAGTGCAAGGACGATCTGTGTTCCCAGAGTGCATCTGTTAAATACTGTCAAATGGCCTTGAAGTCTATTTTTAGAGAAGTATTGTCTAAGCTAAGTGATCTAATGAGGTTAGTCATCTTCAGAATTTCGTTTTGCAAAGGCAACTTTTCCTTCAGAATAACACTTGCTTATCTACACATCATGTTTAAGAGTCTGCATAAAACATGTGCGGGAAAACATTTCTCATAAAGGAGCGCAGTAGCACCCTTTGTTTTTACCTTGACTGACTATCAGAATTATTTGATTTGTTATTGAACGAGAGGGCAGCTTTTGATAGCAACCTAACTTTCGAAAGGTCAGGTTTTAAGGAATTAAAAAAGGTATTACATTTTAGACAAAGTTTTGACTGAGTTTTTAAAGTAATTGCTTTACATTTTAGGGCAGACTTTTGCTTCCATACTTTTTGTCCTAAGAGAAGATCGATCCATGCAACCAATGTTTGTGTTTTTAAATATGAAGCCATCACCAGCAGCTGGCTAGCATAGCTTAACACAGTGGTTCCCAAAGTGGGGGGCGCGCCCCCCCTGGAGGGCGCAGAGGCATGACAAGGGGGCGCGAGAGACCAGGAGGAAAAATGGTTATTAAAAAATAAATAAAAATCATGATTTGAAAAATTATTGATTCGAAAATAATATGATACACTGCTATTACGTCTGGGTCTCTGTGTGTGTGGAACGAGCCATTTTGTTTGCGTGCACGAACGAGAGGGCACCGGTAGGCCTATCGGAGATCGTAGTTGTTAGCTTCTGGTGCTAGCGAGCTACGCTAACGGATATAAGGAGTTTTTTCCACAACAATCTGGAGGAGAGTCCTCTCCTGTCAGACTGAGAGGCTCAGTGAACTAAAGGACTCTCGGAGTATTTAGATAGTTAACTTTAGTCTAAGTTATCTCAGTGGATCTCAAACGTTTTGGTCACCATTAATGTAAACAATTATTTCCGAGGCACACGTTTATATGATCATTAAAGTTATAAAAAAATAAGAGAATAAATGAAAAACAGGTATGATATACTAGGCTATATGACAGTAAAAAAAGTTTAAAAGGGTGATTTGTAAAATATCCATAAAGAAAATCTGTTTACAGTTCTGTTTCATATAGGTGTTGAGAGATGTATCCATAGATCTCTTCATTTTGCTCTCAAAGTGCACGAGATTGATGCTTTTAACTTCAATATTTAAAAATAAATCTTCCCGGGGGATCTTGCCCCCGGACCCCCCTATGTGAGGTCCACGCACCACCTATAAAAATAGTACTTTACCCCTGCTTACACCTATATGCCTCGAGCCTTCATTGTAACTGTCACACTTTGTATTTGTGTGGGGAGTGTTGCAGTAGAAAATTCCACTGAGCGACCGGTACATTAATGGGAAACCCTAAATGTTTGAGCACCCTCTATGAAACGTCAAGCTACCCCACAGCACCCCAAAATAAATATCTGGTGCCGCCACTGAGCCTGACTATTTGTGTTGGGGGGCCCCGACTTTTTTTTTCTCCAAAGGGGGGGCCTGACAGAAAAAGTTTGAGAACCACTGGCTTAACATGATGTCTGTAAACAGGGCAGGGGCAACATCTAGCTTACCTCTCTTTAGGCAGGCTAGCTGTTTCCCTCGGTTTCCAGTCTTTCTCCTAATGTAAATGTTAGCTGGCCGTAGCTTCCTGTTTAGCAGAGTACCAATGTTTGTATTTCCTAAAAGTATTCTTTTAAGGCTCATGAAAACTGACCGAAAACAATAACATCTTCTGAAGTTGGGCTTATTAGTTTGTTATTTTGCAGCATCAGTTCATTGTTAATTCCGATCAACATTGACTCCCTTCAAACCCGCACAACCAATGCACAACAACAGTTCAAACTCAGGACTTCTAAGAAAAGCAGATATATCACACGAATAGCCACAGAGATTTGAGGACCAGTGTTCAACTCTCAGCACAAGCCTACCAAAAACAGGTTTTCTTCACTCACACATTCAGCTTGAGGAGTTTCCTTGGCCTGCTATGTCTCTCTGGCGCTGTGCAGTGTATCTCCTCTCAGGACTGCACCTCCATTAACCTCGCAGTGACCTGCAGAGATGAGCATAGTGTTTCCATTTAGGATTTCAGAAGGTCACAGTATTTCGGCTCAGCGTATCACTTCAGTTCAGGCATCCCTCTGCTCTCTGAAGGCAGAACTAGACGAAAAAGCACTAATGAAAATGTGATCTCGTCCGTAATGCAGAGGCTCCTTAAACATGATTCTGTAATCTCACCTTTTTTCATGAAACACTGCCACAACGTCTAAAAATAATTCACGGGAAAAAAGAAACAGATTGTTTAAGTGATGAATTTTTAATATAAAATAGAAATATACAATAAAGAATTTGAGTTAAAAAATCAACATTCAAAAGTGCTTCATAATATCATTTGAATAAAAGAAAAACACTTACAACTCCAACTGAAATTCAGCATTTAGTTTCAGAGTAAGCGTTAAAAGGTTACAAGCAGTCTTACTGTGTGACACATGCTTCTCATCTACCTTGAAGAATAAGCATAAAAAAACACATTTACGTTGTATAAGTTCTCCTGGTTGCTCCTATGTTGTTTGCTTTCACCCCCTCAACTCAATTTTCTATGTTATCCGCTCTCACAATATGTGTGTAAAGCAGTATCACCTTGCATTAAGTACCGAGGGGGCGACAGTATAAAGGAGGCCTCACAGATGCGACTTGATTTAGTCGGCCCCCCTGATCGGAGTTATTGGAAGATGAACACTGACAGACCCCAGATCAGGTCTTTCAGTCTAGATGAAGGTGGGAGTCATTTCTCTGGGCCAAAAAAATCATCGTTATAACTAACCAGTAGGTTCGCTAAGAAAGGAATGTGCAGTCCTTTAAAAGTGAAGCAGATTATAGGTACCTATTATACCTTCCACAGTGTCCATATTTGAATGCCAATTAAAATGAGCAACCTGATTGTTGCAGCAATACACATTATGCTGGATGGTAATGAATTACAACTGCTTTACCTCAATTAGATTTGATTAGGAAAGTTACGGGTTTGTTACAAGAAATGTCAACATGCAGTACATTATGATGAATTGCTGCAATACAACTTCCATTAGAGGATTTATTCTGGGACTATGTTTCACTTTACTGCTGGGAGCTCAATATATTTAATGCGACATCACCGAGAAATCCTTTTCTAATATTGTGAAAATGTCTGTCGTTTAACAACAGTCTGCTGAACCAATATGTCTTGATGTATACCCTATGCTCTGGTTTATATCACTTTTCCCAATTCGCAGAGACAATATGGGAGATCGGAAGTATGACAGAAGAATGGCTCTGGATGACTGACTCAAAAGACACATATTGGCATTTCCAGCCGAAATGATCCAATTATCTTTTTATCTCAGCATCTTTACCGTGTTAGATTCAGTCCAATAAATCTTCTGATGAAATCTGATTTGTTGTCATTTGCTGTTTCACATCACATTGAAGACAGAAATACATAGAATGCAGAATGCTTTCCTGTTTCGTGCTGCATTCACTGCCTTAACATGACATAAATTGTGTGGGTGGAGGAAGCGTTGACCGAAAATATTCTGCAGCACCACCTATTCCTGTATTTTATAGAAAGTGTGTGTGCACAGTGCTCCTTCCATGAACGCTGTGCTCATGGTTTACAGTGTGCTGTCCTTCCCGTCTGCCCGCTAAAATAGATTATAGTGTCAGCATGCTGCCAGGAGCACTTAGAGGTAAATATCACTGCCATCTGTTCTTAGGAGAGGCTGATCCAGATTGTTGTGCTCCACCTGAGGATCTATCTTTGCACATTCACCCTATCCTTCTAAAGAGTCCCCTCATGTTTTAAGAGATCCAAAAATACTCTGCTTGGAAAATAATTTGTGTTGAATTAACTGCTACCTAAGATTCTTGAAAATCTCCCTTTCTCTCATTGGAAAATCCAGAATCTATAAATGTAATATTGTACAAGTTAAACTAGACACAAGATGTCTCTGAATGTCCTTGAATAGCCCACTCAAAGTGTATTTGCACCGCAAATTCAAGTTTCCACATCACACTTGTGTTTCATGTTACACAATGGACCTTAATTGTTTCCTAACAAAA